CTCTCTCTCTCTCTCTCTCTCTCTCTCTCTCTCTCTCTCTCTCTCTCTCTCTCTCTCTCTCTCTCTCTCTCTCTCTCTCCTCTTTTAATACTTCTAGATCAGGGGTAGGCAACCTTGGCTCTTTTATGACTCGTGGACTTCAACTCCCAGAATTCCTGAGCCAGCCATGCTGAGGGGAAAGGGAGGGGTTTCCAACCTGAGCCATGCTGGCTGAGGAATTCTGGGAGTTGAAGTCCACGAGTCATGAGGGGGCCATAGTTCCCCCACGCTGGCTAAGGAATTCTGGAAGCTGAAGTCCACGAGTCATAAAAGAGCCAAGGTTGCCTACCCCTGTTCTAGGTACTTATATGTAATTCTTTTTTTCACAACAGCCCAAACTCTTCAATGTTTCTTCTGCCGGGAGCCCACCAGACCGGAGAAATGCCTAAGTGTGGCTAAGTGTATGCCGAACCAAACCATGTGTATGACGATCATGCACTCTCTTGAAGAAGGTGAGGTGGGAGGGCAAAATTAACCGAAGTCTCAATTTCTGCAGTTCAAGATCATATGGAGTAGCCTTTCTCTCCTCTTCATCCTCATTCTATAAAAAAAGTGATTAAAAATGTGTGCCTCTGGATCATCCTCACATAACCTCACAGCCTGGACATGACAAAATGTGTCGATCCTTTGCAGATAATCTTGCGGACCCTGCTCAAGCAACACTTCTGTGCCATGTTCTGGATGGGAGGGAGGGAACTGCCAATAATCTTTTCTGCTGTCCTCACCACTCTCTGCACCACCTTCCTGTCTGAAGCAGTGATGCTTTCAAACCAGACTGTGATGCTGTAGGACAGGATGCTCTCAATCATCCCTCTGTAGAAAGTGGTCTCATGTGAGAAATACTATATATATTTTTTAAAAAAAATATGGTACAGGACACAAATTTAATGCAGCATACAGTACAGAAATAGGCCCATCTGTCTTTTCAAAATTTTCCAGATTGGTGAGCCGGAAAATTGAGTGGATGGTTTTTCTCCTTATCATCAGGATAAATGTCTATGGAGATTCTCTGTCCTCCAGGTCATGGTTGTCCCAAAAGTGCTTTTTCAGAAGGCAACTGGACTGTCTTGGTTTTTCTTTGAAGACCTTTCACTTCTCATCTATCCCGTCAGAGCTGAAGAAGAAGTTTCTTGGATGAGAAGGTCTTCAGAGAAAAATAAGAAAGTCCAGTTGCCTCCTGAAAAAGCACCTTTGGGACATCAGGAGAAATAGACGTTTTCCAACAGTGCCACTTTATAAAACCCTAGTGAGGCCACACCTGGAATACTACAGCCAATTTTGGTCACCATACTACAAAAAAGATGTTGTGACTTTGGAAAAAGTTCAGAGAAGTGTAACTAAGGTGATCAAAGGCCTGGAGACTAAAACTTACGAAGAATGGCTGCAGGACTTGGATTTGGCTAGTCTAAAGAAAAGAAGAAACAGGGGAGACATGATAGCAGTGTTCCAGTATTTGAGGGGCTACCACAAAGAAGAGGGGGTCACCAAAGCACCAGAGTGCAGGACGAGAAACAATAGTTGGAAACTGATCAAAGAGAGAAGAAACTTGGAATTAAGGAGAAACTTCCTAACAGTGAGGATAATTAACCAGTGGAACAGCTTGCCTCCAGAAACCTTTATATGTTTTAGCCTCCAGTCCCCTGATCATCTTTGTTGCTCTTCTCTGCACTCTTTCTAGAGTCTCCACATCTTTTTTTACACCGTGGTGACCAAAACTGGATGCTGCAGGACAATTTAACAGTTCTATTTAATTATTTAAAGTAAATTAAAAAATATGTTAATTTTTGCCATTCACACTTCATTCTTACCCTCCTTTTTCACCCTTTCTTTAATGATTCTATTCCACCATGTCTTTGATATTAGTGTAACTGTTGTCCCGCAGCTAGTTTATTCCTGCGGTGAGATGACCATGGCATGTTGGCTCCTGCAAGTTGACCGTGGTGAATTGGCCTCAACCCCCCTAAGCAATACCTGAATGGATCTCCATAATTTTAAGCCTCTGTTCATTAGGTTTCCCCAATCTGAGTATCCATCATTGAAGATGTCCTACAGTTCTCATCCTTCCAAGGTGGTCCAGAAATTATTTAGAATAAAATAGAGCTGGAAGGGACCTTTGGGGTCTTCTAGTCCAGCCCCCTGCTCAAGCAGAAGAACCTATACCATCTCAGACAAGTGATTGTCCAGGCTCTTCTTTAAAATCTCCAGTGATGGAGTCTCCATGATTTCTGAAGGCCAGCTGTTCCACTGGTTGATTGTCCTCACTGTCAGGAACTTTCTCCTTAATTCCAGGTTGCTTCTCTCCTTGATCAGTTTCCAACCATTGTTTCTTGTCCTTCCCTCTGGTGCTTTGGTGAACAACCTGACCCCCTCTTCTTTGTGGCAGCCTCTCAAATACTGGAAGACTGTTATCATCTCTCCCCTATTTCTTCTTTTCTTTAGACTAGCCAAACCCAAGTCCCGTAGCCATTCATCATATGTTTTGGTCTCCAGGCCTTGGATCATCTTAGTTGCTCTTCTCTGAATTTTTCCCCAGATAATTTATTAAAAGACATTGGAGGACATGGGATCAATTCTAGCATGATACATGGGTGTCTCTGGGCATGTGCCATAAAGAAATGCCCAAATTCTCTGAAATTTCTGTTTGTTGTTGTTGTTGTTTGGCAGTCTACCCTTTTGTGGGTGAACTCACCGTCACACGGTCTTGTTCTCTGACGTGCAACCTTTCCGAGATAGATGAAATTGGTTCCACGCGTCTGGTGACCTGTTGCCACACCAACCTCTGCAACCGTGATGGGGCCTCCTGGCTAGAGATCAGCTACACCCTGTTGGGAGGAATTCTGGCTTCTTTCTTCCTCTTCCTCAGCTGAGACTGAATTTCTCCATGATTTGGCAGAGAGCCTACTTCACTTTCCAAGAACATGGGTTCAACGATGGTTTGTCTTCTCTTCCTATTCCTGGATACCTGTTTGTCTCAAATAAAGAAAATGGGAACAGAAATGGTCTGAAAGTTACTGCAAACATAGATGGAAGAGAATATTTGTAGCTCAGGGCTGAACTGTGGGGGTCCTTGGTGCTCTCTGAGCTGGGTTGTTTTCTTGAAGACATTTCAAAGTGCAACTAGGCAATATCATCAGTGCTAGAAGAGAGTGGGGTTTATGGAGTGGAGGGGAAGAGAAGGAGGAGGAGAAAGGAAGGAGGAGGAGAAGGGAAGGAGAGTCCTTGGTGCTCTCTGATCATGATTATTTTCTTGCAGACATTTCATTACCAAACTAGGCAACATCATCAGTGGTAGTAGGGAGTGGGGTTTGTGGAGTGGAGGGGAAGGAGGAGGAGAAAGGAAGGAGGAGGAGAAGGGAATGAGGAGGAGAAGGGAAGGAGAGTCCTTGGTGCTCTCTGATCATGATTATTTTCTTGCAGACATTTCATTACCAAACTAGGCAACATCATCAGTGGTAGTAGGGAGTGGGGTTTGTGGAGTCCAGGAGAGAGAGGGAGGAGGAGGAGGACTGTGGGGTCCTTGGTGCTCTCTGAACTGGGTTGTTTTCTTGAAGACATTTCAATGTGCAACTAGATAACACCATCAGTGCTAGAAGAGAGTGGGGTTTGTTGAGGGGAGGAGAAGAAGGGGAAGAGGAGGAGGAGAAGGGAAGGAGGAGGACAAGGAAAGGAGGAGTCCTTGGTGCTCTCTGATCATGGTTGTTTTCTTGCAGATGTTTCATCACCCAAGTAGGTAACATCATCAGTGCTAGAAAGGAGTAGGATTTGAGAAATGGAGGAAAAGGGAAGGAGGAGGAAAAAGAGGAGGAGGAGGAGGAGGAGGAGGACGATGACGACGACGACAACAACAACTGTGGATCCTTGGTGCTTTCTGAGCTTGGTTGTTTCTTGTAAACCGATGAGAAAACTACTTGTGCTCCTAGCTTTTTTAACTTTGTTGCCTAGTTGTTCGTAATCCCTCACTATTGTACTCAAGTACTTTGGCCACCTAATGAGAAGGAAGGACTCCCTGGAGAAGAGCCTGATGCTGGGAAAGATGGAGGGCAATAGAAGAAGGGGACGACAGAGAATGAGGTCGTTGGATGGAGTCCCTAAAGCAGTAGGCCTGAGCTTCAATGGACTCCAGAAGATGGTAGAAGACAGGAAGGCCTGGAGGAACGTTGTCCAGGAGGTCGCGATGGGTCGGACATGAGTTCGCAACTAACAACAACCACAACTATTATACTCAGCTTGTTTGTTGTGTCATTTGTCCCAATGTGAATCAACAACCCTTCACACCAAAAATCTAAGTCATCAGCCCCAGACCCAGGGAAGCAGGATATGACCTTTGTGACATAATAGGATTAACCCACCACCATCAGAATACCAGAAAGGCACACTCAGACTCAGGTCAAAGCTCCTGCCACAGGAACAACTCCAAACAAAAAGCTCCAGAGGGTATAAAAACCCACTCCCTACATGTGCTCACTCTCTTTTCTTCCGGAGCCATCTTCCTGTCTGGCTCTCCTCTTCAATAAACTGCAACCTTCTTTCTAAAGCAGTCGCCATGTTGTTTATCTCCGGCTTGGACTGAACCATGATGAAGACTTTTCCTTCAACACACCTGAAGGCAGGACAAGAAGCAACGGATGGAAACTAATCAAGGAGAGAAGAAACCTAGAACTAAGGATAAATTTCCTGACAGTTAGAACAATTAACCGGTGGAACAACCTGTCTCCAGAAGCAGTGAATGCTCCAACACTGGAAGTTTTTAAGAAGAGACTAGATAGCCATTTGTCTGAAATGGTGTAGGGTTTCCTGTCTGAGCAGGGGGTTAGACTAGATGACCTCCAAGATCCCTTCCAACATTATTATTATTATTATTATTATTATTATTATTATTATTATTATTATTATTATTATTATTATTATTATTATTATTATTATTATTATTATTATTATTAATCATTGCACAGTCAGCCAGATGTTCAGACTGGATTTGGCATTTTTGTGTACCTATCGAGTCCTTCCCAAGGACCTGGGATAGGCAGATGTGGATGTTTGATGGTATTAGAGATCTCGTCACAGGATGGAAGCAGTTCCTAGTAAGGCTGCCTTTTGCAATTGCCTAATGGCGAATTTGTCAGTGCCAATTGTGTTCAAGTGGTGCTCTAGTTGTTTTGGGATTGCATCCAAGGCACTTATTACTATTGGTACTACCCTTGCTTGCCTTTAACACAGTCTTTCTATTTTTATTTGTAGGTCTTTGTATTTTGTTATCTTCTCCAGTTCTTTCTCGTTTATTCTGCTGTCCATGTCCATAATCCAGACTTTTTTGTCTTTCTTATCGACAATTGTTAAGTCCGGGGTGTTATGTTGCAGGTGCTTGTCTGTTTGAATTCTGAAGTCCCAGAGCAATTTAACTTTATCATTTTCTATGACTTTCTCTATTTTATGATCCCACCAGTTTTTGCTTACAGCAAATGATATTTCTTGCAGATCTTCCAATGCACCATTGTTGCTACTTTGTCATGCCGCTGCTTGTAGTCAGTCTGTGCGATCTTCTTGCAGCAGCTTACCAGGTGGTCCACTGTTTCTTCAGCTTCTTTGCATAGGCGGCACTTACTGTCTGTTGCTGTCTTCTCCATTTTGACTTTGTATGCATTTGCCCTTAAGGCTTGGTCTTGTGCAACCAGAATTAGTCCCTTGGTCTCTTTCTTCAACTTTCTTGCTCTTAACCATTGCCAGGTCTTGTTATTATCTGCTTTCCCAGCTATTTTTTTTTTTTTTAATGTACTGGCCATGCAGTGCTTTGTCTTCCCATGCCTCTATTCTGTTCTTCATTTGGTCTTTCTTGTAGGCCAGTTTGGTCTCTCCAGTAGTCAGTAAGCCTTCCTGATATACTAATTTCAGTGCATCTTCATCACTGTCCTTCAGATATTCTTCTAAAGCCATTTTTTCTTCTTCAACCATCTGATGTACTTGACTTGCAGCATTCCACGCCCACCTATTTGCCTTGGTAGATAAAGTCTGCCAATATCACTGCGTGGGATGAAGGGCATGATTCATTGTCATTATTTTTCTGGTCTTCCTATCCATTGCTTTTTTTTAATTACTGTTATTATTATTATTACTATTATTATTATTATTATTATTATTATTATCATCATCATCATCATCATCATCATCATCATCATCATCATCATCATCATCATCATCATCATCATCTGATGTATATTTGCAAGACCGCCTCCTACCAAATATCTCCCTTCGACCAGTTCACTCCCTCCTTAGGGTGCCCTCGGCCAGTCAATGCCGGCTGGCGACCCCCAGGGGGAGAGTCTTCTCTATGGTAGCTCCTGCCCTCTGGAATGACCTGCCCCCCGACCTACGGACAACTACGGACTGCGCCTCTTCCGCTGAGCCTTGAAAACCCATCTATTCCACGCGGCCGGCTTGGCGTAGTTTTGATTGGGCTTTGCTAGGGGTTTTTATATGGGGTATTTTAGAGCAGGCTTTTTATTCAATATTTATTGTGATTTTTATTATTGCCTGTTCACCGCCCTGAGTCCCGTAAGGGAGATAGGGCGGTAAATAAATTTAAATAATAAATAAATAAATAAAAAATATATAGTTTGGATGTTCTTTGGGCATCATACATGGAACGTGTATTGCATACCGCAATCGTATCAGCCACCTGTTCCATGAGTTTGTTGATTGATAGTCCCTCTTTTTGGTTGGTGGGTGCGCTTTGCTATTAGCCTTTTTCCAGCTTCTCTGTTCTGAGTGATCTTGCCTATTTTGCTGTCCTTTTTTTTCTGCCTGTTTGTGCTTGTTTTTGTGCCTTGCTATTTTGGTGTAGATCAGTGGTTCTCAACCTTTTTAATGCCACAACCCCAACCGGTCGTAAGTCGAGGACTAAACCGGTCGTAAGTCAAGGACTACCCAACCGGTCGTAAGTCGAGGACTTTCCCTGCCTGGGAGCGCCGCGCATGCGTGGTTCCGCCCCCTGCGCCGGCCGAGGCGTAGCTGGCAAGCGGCAGAGATGGAGCAGGCTGACCACCAGCTAGCCCAGCCCAAGGGAGGTAAGGCACCCGCCGGAAAAGGGGGGAAAAATGGCGGACAAAAAAATGGCGGACAAAAAAAATGGCAGACAGCCTTGCTTGGCGACCCCCATGAAATGGTCGATCGACCCCAAATGGGGTCCCGACCCACAGGTTGAGAACCACTGGTGTAGATGAAGTATGAGGTAGTACGCCCTATGGCTTTGAGAGAAGAAAAACGACAGTTTATGTTGAGGCTAAGGGTTACTGTTTTCTTAATTTGCTCCTTATTTATCCCTGTCCTCTCTGCCTTGGTTTTCTGACTGCCTTTGTGTGCTGAGCCGGTCTTTCTGGTTTTCCTCAGTTGCCTCTAGCCATTGCTCAAGCAATCTTGGGTGTGAGAAAGGCAGAAGTCAAACTACCTTTCCTGGACTGGTCCTGTTGTCTGAATCCCAAATTGCAACCTCTGGAACTGTGCCCAGGTCCTGCTCAATCCGTCCTGGAGTACAGATTGGCTGAATGGATAGACAATCTATTACAAAGCACACTACCAAAGGGGGCTGGGGTGGAAGTTGTGGCACAAAGCCTTAACAAACGATTGTAAGTCGAGGGCTAACTGTACACACCTTCAGAAAGGCCTTAGGTTGTGTGTGTTTGCGTGGTGTGCTTACCTGTGTATCTCTGTACAGTAATACTCATGGTGAGAACATTTCTTAATCGTTGTACACCCAAGTAGGCGATAGCCTTGAGGATGTTCCCTAACTGGGTAATGAAATGTCTGCAAGAAAACAGCCAAGCTCAGAGATCTCCAAGGACCCCACAATCTTTTTCCTTCTCTCTCCTTCTCCTCCATAAGTCCCACTTTCTTCTAGCATGGATGATGTTACCTAATTTAGGTCATGAAACGTCTGCAAGAAAACAACCAAGCTCAGAGAGCACCAATTTCTCCTCCTTCTCCTTCTCC